TAATAATAATAATATTAATAATAATAATAATAAAGAAAAATAAGGAGAAGAAGAAGAAGATGATGATAACTTGGAGATGGAAAATTAATGTAAGGATTAAACAATGATAATAACAAATGTCAAGGTTAGAGGTTCCACTAATGGTATGTCAAACAAGTATAGTATAAACTCTTATTATTCAATTGGAAACCACACACAAAGTAGGTTCCAATCAGATTATAGATTGTTAACATGATTACATTAGTCATCTTATTCGATTAATGCTAATACTTGTAAATCTCGTCAAGCATTCATGATTATAACTTATATTAACAATAAATCAAGTTCCTTTCATAGCTCAGGTGTCGGTTATATCATATAGTATGGGCTATGAGAGCGCCAAGTATTTGTTGTACCAAGTGTTATACAACATAAATCAAGATTAGTCATTTAACAAATAAAGTATTAAAGAGTGAACAAGATAACAAATACAAAACATGTTAGTATCAAACATTAAAGTCCATATTAAGTTTACACTATACTTATTCTTACACCATTAGTGTAACCTTTTCACCTTGACATAATAAACTTAGCTAGACATAATGAAAGAAAGAAAAATAACTAAACAAAATAAGAACATAAATAAAATAAAAGTTAACTAAGTAAATGCAAGGCATAAACTTGATATTAATGAAAGCAAAGCATAAACATTACAAAAAATACAAAGAGAGAAAGGAAGAGTATGATCTTAATCTGGAAACCAAGATGCCTAAATGCATGGCAAATGCCTCCTTTTATAGGCCAAAATTGGAAACTATTGATTTAATGACTAATTAATGAGTGGGTGACCTTCAGGTCATTCTGATATAGAGTTTTAGAAATACGTTTAATCTCACAAATTTGATCAACTAATATTTTAAGGTCAAAATCATACCTGAATTGGTTAATATCAAGATTAATTTAGGATTTTTATTAGTTAACTTTAAATTATGTTATTAAACTATAAAGTAAATTAATTTGAGTTAATTATTATGTTATTTATGAATAAAATCAATGAATATGATTTAATGTCATTTATATCATGGTTAGGGTTAGGTTTTTTTAGGTTAATTTAGTTATTTTGTCGAATTAGGTATAAATTATGTTAATTAATTATGAAATACATTAATTGAGTTAATAATTTTTTTTAATATAGAGAAAATTGATGAATTTGGATTTTTGGTGATTATGTTATGGTTAGGTTTCATCGAATAAACTTCTATCAAAATTATGTACCTTAATTAGTTTGTGATATTGATAAATTAGACTTAGATTTTGTTGTTTGATAAAATATCTTATAGTATTTGAATACAATGTTCTTATAGTGGTACTATTGTCAATATCGACAATGCATCACTTATAATGAAGGAAGTAACAGGTTCCTAACTATTATATTAAATATGTCTTTTACCAAGCTATCTTGATTGTCAATGTGATCGAAATTACTTGAAGGATACAAATTAGCATGTGTCTAACTTGTTGTGTCGGTGTACCCATCTTTAATGAAGGTAGTGTGAATTTAATATTTGGATAATCTACTGATAACTAATTATGAATGCTAAAGTCGTACTTGAATAAAAGTTGGGTATAACATCTACATAATTTGGCCAGCTTTCATATCCAACCAAGCTTTCTCATCTTTCTCAACCAAGCTTTCTCATCTTATTGGAAACTCATTATTTCTTTATTATAAGTGATATTATTATCGGTATTGACAATAATATCACCATAAAAGCATACTATTCTAATACTACGAGATATTTCATCAAATTTCATAAACTTGAGCCTAATTTATCAATATTGCAAATTAATCAAGGTATATATTTTTGACAAAAGCTTATTCAACAAAACCCTAACCATAACATAATCAGTAAAAACCCATATTCATCAATTTTCTCCATACATAACGAGATTATCAACTCAATTAATATATTTTATGGCTAATTAACATAATTTATACCTAATTTGATAAAATTTGTAAATTAAATTAAAAAACCCTAATAATAACATAATCGATAACAACCTAAATGCATCAATTTTCTTCATAAATAACACAATTATAAACTCAAACCAATGTCTTTTATAGCTAATTAATATAATTTAAATCTAATTTAATAAAATCCTAAATTAATCTAAAAAACAACCCTAACCTTAACTAAATCAATTAAAATAAAAAATTATAAAAAAATACTATAAAATCAATATAAAAAAATGGTATAATAAACCTTAAATTGTTGATAGTGGGTGGTTGTGGTGGCTTAAGGTGGTAGCCAAAAAATCCAAGAGAACTCGCATTGTAAGGTGAAAGAAAATGTTATGAATTGGTGGGGGAAGAGAGAGAAGTCAAAGTGGTGGAAAGGGTGTTTTATGGTTGGAATAGAGAGGGATTGGTGGGGCTGCAATGGTGACAGGGGAAGAGGAGGACAAGCATCAAATGAGAGATGAGTTTTAATTTGTTTGACATTACATGCAACTCGGAAGTTGTAAATAATATAAGTGACTCACGTAAATATGATATTTTCTTAAATATTTTATAGACTATGTTATTTCTCTTATTTTTCTCATTATGCTATTTAAAAATAAACTCTAAAAATAAAAATAACTTAAAATTTAAAACATCAATATCAAAAAGTTTTGTTTTTGATCTATCACAATGAAGAAAAATTTTCTCCAACTAGCACAACTAGAAAACATTTTCCAAACTAGCATAACATACTTTTTTTTTTTTAGATTAACGTGGGTGTCCGGG